TCAGACAAGGAGCCTAGTGAGGGGCAGTGCCAGTGCTCTGGGAAGCAACCAATAATAAAAAAATGTGCACTGTGCTGCCTCTACACTAGTTTGGCTAAGCTTTCCCGCTTATGCTCATGGCTTCAATTTATCGGGGATGTCTAATCCACTTTTGCACAGACCAAGGAGGTCACACCAGTGATCACGATGCATATCAGCCAGCCTGTCTCACCCTAAGAAGACAGGGCCTCTCATAATGCTCAAGGTCACCCCACTAACAGCCTCACCAGAATCCCCAGAGCAATGCTGCATTGTTGATTTTGTATTGCATTTTTAAATGTTGGAAGCCGCTTTGGGTCCCCATTGTGGGAGAAAAGCGGCTTATAAATAAAGGTTTATTATTATTATTATTATTATTATTATTATTATTATTATTATTTTACTGACACAAAAACACAATATGTCACAGCAAACAAGATATATATGCTGGATTTCGTATCACAAAATCACAAGTCAAATGCTTCCCGAGCGTCTAGGCCTGTGTGATTTATTATTATTATTATTATTATTATTATTATTATTATTATTATTATTATTATTCCCTTCATAGTCACCATAGTCAAAGTCAACTTAATGGCATGATACAACAAAACTATTTTGCACCTTCACCTTATTGAGTATTTGTGTGGAAACAATCCCAATGAAATCCATTTCAGTTCCAGTTTGCTAATACAACAAAAATGGAAAAGTCCAAAAGGAGTGAATACTTCTGCAAAGCCTATATTTCTGTTTTGTGGCTAACAGTTCTACACTGAAAAAAGGAACATAAAAGTGTACACTTTATGCTTCCTTTTGCTGTCGTCATTCAGTCAATGAACTGTGCGTCACCTGGATTCACTACCATGATGATGTCTTGCATAGCAAAATTGTGACTCACATTAATGTTTCTCTGAGTTGAAAGTCTGACTCATCCAGTCACTGTTGAAATTGTTGGTACATATACAGAGTCTTAGGGCATGTTGTTTCCATATCCAGTAATACATTTGCTACTATAGCTTCTTACTCTAAAAAGTGATCCCTTTTGTATTTGAAAGAGAAAAGATAGGAGGTCTGATCACACTTCAGGATGTTGCAGTGAACTGCATAGTATTTTAAACGGAACAATGAGAAAGTCCTAGCTTGGCAGTCTTCCTTCCGAGAAGCCTACACAGTAAGCCCCTGTTAAAATAGACACTGCTGCTCCGCTCCACCTCAGGCGTCAGGACCCTAATAGAAGAAGCTTGCTTTCCTTGTATTTCCAGCTCCCTCCCACCTTTTTCAGGTCACATTCGCATTCTTTTTCCTCAATTATATTTCTTTCCCTCTATATATTTGTATAGATGTATAGACATTTTAATATCAGGAATATGGTTTACACCCCACCCATAGATAACCTCTCAAATACACTGAACCTCTGCTTCTCTTCAGTTCTTCTTAGGTAAGATCTCTCCATGCTCTTAAGGTTATTTATGGGTAATAGCAAAATCAACAATTTTGGCCTAAGATCTGACCTAGACTTTTACATGAGGTAGACTTATATACACAGTTGACTTAATTCACCAGTATATATGAATTGTGCTTTCTTTGCTGCTGCCTTCATTTCCTCATACTTCCAGCTTGATGGCTCTTCATTATGTGTAATCCTACCATTCAGCCTGTTACTGTTACTACTATTAATTTTGTTGCAGCTGCAGATATTATGCAGCATATAGAAATGACACAGAAGCATTTTATATGGCCACGACCAAGTTCCACGTAGAGCTCTATGTATTTATATTGGGTTCAATACATTTTGTTTACACAGTCTTAAATAGATTTGAGGGCCCCTCCCTTCAAAACCATTTTTGTTTTATATCTGCAAACTTAAACATACATTTTCCAAACTGATTCTACATCCTAGATGAAGTTTTTCCCCCTGATGATTTTAGTCTGTTCCTGATTCATTCACAATAGTTTTATTTTCATGTTAAGATTGTTTCATCAGAAGCATCTAGAACTATGGATCTTATATACAACGTGTTCAAGATTTCATTCCAAAGTGCCTTTTCTCAGAAAAAACAACAACCCTGCACTTAAAACCATTAGATCTCTATGTTTGGTCTCACTGTATGGAGTTATTGTAATGCTTTATTTATTTATTTGTTTGTTTGTTTGTTTACAGTATTTATATACTACTTTTCTCACCCCTGAGGGGAACTCAAAACGGTTAAAAAATAATGGCAAAATTCAATGCCTGTGAAGACTAAAATCCACTGATTGTGGTAATGTGGATTTTGGTCTCCACAGTTTTAGGGGAACCCATTTTTCTTTTTAAAATTCAATGCCTTACACACATAAACCAAATCATAAATCAAACAACATATGACTAAGCATAAAATACAATAGGACAAATTCTCTCTTTTGAGATTGAGATAATTATCTTGCACATTAAATTTGCTTCCTATAAAATAAAAATAAATTTGCATATCTCTCAAGGTGGGTATTATGATCTAGGGCAGGGGTAGGGAACCTTTGGCCCTCCAGCTGTGGTGGACTTCAACTCCCACAATTCCTTGAGGCTCGGCATTCGCCCCAAAGGCTTACCTTGGCCCAATGCCGAGCCTCAAGGAATTGTGGGAGTTGAAGTCCACCACAGCTGGAGGGCCAAAGGTTCCCTACCCCTGATCTAGGGCATGATATTTCAAGGTGGTTTTGATTTCTTACTCCATAGCAACAATGAAGTCTTGTTCTATCTTCCTTCACTAGTTATTGAGCCTTGTTGAAGAATGGAAAAAGTAGGAGATAATGTAGTGATGATTCCCCCTACCCATAGCCTTTTGGAGTTTTTTGGTGTGTGAATTTTTTGACTAAAAATATTACTGCTTATACCATGGGTATGAAACCACTGGAAATGGGTGGCTACAAAGATTCCCACCCCACAGACCCCTAGAGAACTACATCCCCAATTTTCCTCCAGAGGAAGGTATGGAGAATGGGCAGTAGTGCTTCCTAAAGCTTCCATGGAAGCCAGACATTATTTGTTAGTTTGGTCCTTAGACCTTTACATAGATGCAGACACGTTCATGAGTCCTAATTGTAAACATATTGCCACGACGTATTTTACCATGTGGTTATGTGGGGGTTGTCAAGATTTATTTATTGATAATATTTAATACCATCTAAAATATGGAGTTTAAATTATCAATTTATTTGAATTAAATGATAGGGTCTTGTATAATTAGTGTCTATCTGCCCTGAGTCTCCTTGGGGATATAGGGCTCAATATAAATAGTGTTGTTGTTGTTGTTATAAACATCAATTGTTTGTATTTGGTTTATAGTTACTCACATCCAATACAGGCAATCCCTTAGTTACAAACACCTGACTTGCAAATGACTCACAGTTAAGAACAGGTGAGACAACAGGAAGTTAAATAAATCTTCCCCTAGGAAGGGAAATTCACTCCTGGGAGAGTTATCATGGGGAAGAGGTGTCTCCACTAAAGCTTTCCCATCAATCCTTGTTTCCACAACAAGCTAATTTTTTCACAGTCCAATTATCACAGGGACACAAAGTGAGGCGAAATCTTCTGAATAGGGGCACATACAGCAAAACAAACACCACAGGGGTATTAGCCCTTCCCTATGCTATCCAAAGCATACAAGTTCAACTTAAGAACAAACCTACAGAACACATCTTGTTCGGAACTTGGGGACTTCCTGTACTTTCTGTCCACATGTGACAAAAATGAGGTAAGATTTTTGATCCCGTTTCTGTTCTGTTCCCTCCTCCCACACACACACACACACACTTTCCTGTAGCCTAGATAAGATTTGCTTCTCCCTTCTGGCTCAGAAGATAAAGTGTGCAGTGCAATCAGGGATAGTTGAATCCACCATCTGGTTAAGGGAGCATGCATGGATTTAATAGATTTATTCCAACTGATATTTATTTGACTGATCAAATTTCGCAGTTTGATTATTCAAATTTTGCAGTTTGGTTATTCAAATTTCGCAATTTTGTTATTCCTTTTGATGACTTCTCTATATAAAGGTTCTGGATTAAATGTTTTGGTTTGAAAGGGCTGTAGATTAGACATGCAATTACTGTTTTTAAGGCAATTCGGGCTATAGTATTTCTGTTCAATATTGCTCTCTCTCTCTTTTTCTGATATCTTTGAGAATTCCAGGTGAATAGTAAGCATAGGGTTTGGGCATGGGAATCCCATTCTTTTTTCATTCCACCTGCTTTGCTGAAGTGTTGCGGTCCATCCATTGTTTTCCTCATTTCTCTGAACTGAACTTGAAATTGGTCCTAAACATCCCATGGCCTTTAGGGTCACAAATTGCCCGCTCCTACAAGCGCTTAAGGTACAAGGGTATTAGAAATAATTAACATAGGCCAAAAGACTATAGTCGTTGGTGTCTATGTGTGAAGCATAGCATGTGTGTTTGTATGCATATAATATTTACAAATAAATTGTTAATTGGAGTGAATGCCCTATGGGAGATTATGGGCTAGAGTCCATCCCCCAACTTCTCTGTAGACAGGATCCCAGATTGGAACTACCATTGGGTCTTTGGTTCAAATCAACTTTGTGGTGTGGCATGAAGCTTACTGATATTTTGGATGGAAGAATGCTCTCTTGGCTGGTGATTTAACCTGCAGGTTCCACATCCCTTACTCTAGTTGTTTCTAAATTGACATAATTTAGATATATGCTTTTATGGTTTTAACCTGGATTGTTTTAATATTAATGTTGCTTAATACTGTTTTAATATTTGTATATTTTCAGTTGTACTGAAATACCTTTAGTTGTGAGCTGCTTTGAGTTTCTATGTGGAGAGAAAAAGCAGGATATCAATAAAAACAAACAAACAAGCCAAGCATCTGGGATTCCACATCCTCCTAACATTTTTACTTTTTAAATGAGCTACATGTGATGGATTAAAATTGCCATGTTGGAAAGCTACTTAGAAATACATTTTTCTGTCTTATTTTAGGTAAGATGGAGGACTGTTTTATTACAACAGTGTGTTTTGCTGCTCGCCTATCTTGTAATTACACTGGAAGCGGTACCTATAGACATAGACAAGACAAAGGTAAAAGAGGAAGAACATGTGGACAGTGCAAAAGTAGACAATCCGGTAAGTCAATTAATTAAATAATAGCAATTATTTTCTACCAGTATCATAGTCCTATGCATGACAACGGACTCTGAATTGATAGTTTTTTTGATTAGAAGATAAATGTAATACTGTATGTTTACAGAGACTATGAACTTCTTTGCTACTATTAGCTTCACTTGCTATTGGAGTATTTAAAAGGACAATTCAAAGTTCCTTCTATAGCTTTGGTCCAGACTATCTCATAGACCAGGGGTCCTCAAACTAAGGGCCGGGGGCTGGATGCGGCCCTCCAAGATCACTTACCCGGCCCTTGCTCAGGGTCAACCTAAGTCTGAAATGACTTGAAAGCACACAAGAACAACAACAATCCTATTTCATCAGCCAAAAGTAGGCCCACACTTCCAAAAAAAAAAAGTTTATATTTTTAAATTGTTTTTCATTTTAATTATTGTATTGTTTTAAGTGTTTTTTGCACTACAAATAAGATATGTGCAGTGAAAAAATATTCATGTTTTTTTTTTAAAATTATAATCCGGCCCTTCAACAGTTTGAGGGACTATGACCTGGCCCTCTGTTTAAAAAGTTTGAGGACCCCTGTCAAAGACTCTGCTATTTATTTATTTATTTTATCTCACCTTTCTCCCAATATAGTAAGTCCTTCCAACTCTGATTCCTTGACTCTATCCCATTCCATATATATTTACTATTTGTTTAAATCTATAAACAAATAGTTTATAGTTTTCTACCAATATCATAGTCCTATGCATGACAACGATTCCTCGGTTTGGATATGAATAAAGATGATGATAATTATGATGGTGGTCATAATGTCATATATGGGACTGTACATTTAGACCCTTTTGTGTTTTATTTATTTATTCAATTAGTTTATAGGTTGCCCCCCCCCCCCCCAATTGCAATCCTTTTTCTATTTGATACCTCCCTTTGGAAAAAAGGAAGATCTCATCACTAATCTTTTACCATCTTATTCAGTTCAATTTTAAAGTTAGCTGGTTTCTCCAAGTAAGTAGGAAATGGGGCAGGGGTGGTAGACAGGACTGTAAGGAATCTGTCACTGTCCTATTACCACATAGTCCTGTTGTACTCCTTTTCTGTGTTGCACAGCCTCCTATTTAGAAACATCTTCTTTGAAGAAACCAGTTAAAGCTGCAGTTCAAACAGAAGTGGACTTCTCGCAGGATGTGCACATTTATGGCTTGCATTGTGAATACATTTTCGCTTTTTAGCATTGAATAATAATGAAGAGGGTTGTGTAGGATGTAAGTTCTTGTTTAGCTTTAAACATCTCTTTGAGGAGAGAGACACATTGTTCCACTGCTTCTGCTTTACTGAAATAATATTTATTTTTTGAAGGATACCGGGCTTTATTATGATGCTTACCTCAGGCAAGTGATAGATGTTCTGGAAACAGACAAACATTTTAGAGAGAAACTCCAGACAGCAGACATAGAAGAAATAAAGGTATGTACAATGGCAGTAGGTCTTAATAAACAGAGATGAAATGACATTTTCAGTATAAAAATATGCTGTGCAATCCTTATTGATTTTAATGGGAAAGATGTCTACATACTTTAATTTATTCCATTGACTCCAGTGGTATTTTAATGGTTAGGGGGAAAAAGCTGAGAGTCTCTGCTTTCTTACAGGAGTCTGCAAAGCAGTCTTAAGTCCTGTGAGTCCCTTATCCACAGATTCAATATCCTTACTTTTACTTACCCATGCTCCCAAAAAATTCTCCTGGAAGTATTTGTGGGCCTCTCCAGGTATTATAATCACCTGTGGAGCAATAGGCCAACCCTGCCTATTTGCCTTGATGTTGCCTTGTTGTTTTTGTACACTAATGTAAACATAGAGTGAAACAACACCAGATGATGTTAGCAAGGGCTCAAGCCAAACATGGTAAAACAACATCAATGATACATTATATCAATACGATAGCAGTGGGGAAAATTAACATTAAGTGAGATCATTGTTGCTAGTATGTGCAGATCATTGTTGCTACTATGCAACCTCATATGGTAAAAGCATATCCAATGTTATTGGTGAATTCTGCTGCTAAGAGTTTCAGTGCAATGCCCACATCAGTATATATGGTCATTTAGTCCACAGTAAATGCTGAGATAGAAATATCAGTTTGTTGCCCATGCTAGCCTTACTAGGCACCAATATGCTTGCTTCAGGATTCAGGAAGCTAGAGAAACATCTTGATTATGTTTCTTGGAAGGCAGAAACTGCCAGTGGTGTTACAAACTGCTGTCACTATTCCTCGTTCTGTTTTTGGATGCTTCATCAAATCTTTCTGGTGTCTAGAGTTGTCAGATTGAAGACTAGCGATGGTTCTTGTACTTTTAATGGCAGTGTAGGAGAAGAGTTTCAGCAGAAGTTTGTTTGCCATGCAACCAGGTAAAAAGCCATACCTGCTGAAATTCTGTCTTCTACATGGACATTAAATGTATAGGAGGCATCTCCAGTTTTCACCCTGGCAACTCTAGTGGTGCCCCTAGGAATAGTTACACGGCACTTTTGTTAGCTCTTCGGGCTTCAACTCTTAGCAGATATATCAAGGAGACTGCAAAAGGAGATTGGGTTTATATCTTACAAATATATTCTAGAACTGTTTGTCATCTAACTGCTCCTTGAAAAGTGTGAGAGTTTGCAAGATTTTATCCTTCTCTTTAGATGAGATTATGCACTTCTTGTATATAACTCTTATGAGTGCAGAGGAGCAACGTTGGTTTGTCCTCATATGTCAAAACAGAAGGAAAGCATCATGTTATCCCTTGTTAGTTTTTTTTCCTGTTGGCTCCTGCACCTCATCATTTTACTTTGACCAGGCCTACTTTTCTCTCTTTCTGGCTATTGGTCTTCTTAATCATAGTTAACGCTTTTTTTGGTGAACCAACATGACATAGTGATTTAAGTGTTGGACTAGTACTCCAGGTGATGAGAGTTCAGATCTGTGGTGAGCCATAGGAACCCACTGGATGACCTTGTGCAAGTCACATTCTCTCAGCCTCAGATGTGGGAAATGGCCAGATTTCCTCTGAATAAATATTGACATGGATATGATCACAGTAATTTGGCATCAACATGAAATCTGTTAACAACGTGATTTTTATATTTTCTTCTCTTCCTCACAAAACCAGGATATTTCCTCGCAATCACAGCATTCCATTTTTGATATTGATAAATTCTTCGGCATTTGTCTCTAGATACACAGAACTCACAGTAACAGAAGACTTAACAGTAGATTTTAGGATAGAACTTGTCACTTATTTGTAGCTATCATTTTTGTTGTTGTTTGTCTTGATAGAGTGGAAAGTTAAGCAAAGAGCTGGACTTGGTTAGTCATCATGTAAGAACAAAACTGGATGAACTGAAAAGACAAGAGGTTGCAAGATTAAGAATGTTAATTAAAGCCAAGATTGATTCATTTCAAGGTAAGAGGAAAAATTGGAGAAGTGACTGAACAAAAGGCTGGCATCTGATGTAAACAATTATACTTCAATTGCCACTCTTTTTGTTATCAGTAGTGGAGGTAAATGAAACTGAAAGGTGTGAGTGTTTCTGCCACCCTCTGCGACCTCATTTGACACTCTCGTCTTTTTGAGAAATAAGGGTAAACAAGACAAATGGGCTCCAAGGAAATCACAGACACAGAATTAATGATTTGCTACTGCAATTCTAAAGTAAGAGACACACCAGTTAGAATATTATTTTTTAAATTATCAGACACTTGGCTGCTCCAGTTCTTTGGATGCGTGATAGACTCCAGTGTGTGTGTCTATGTGTGGAGTGTCTCCTTCCTTTCTGATTCTAGTGGTAAAAATAATACAGCAGTGTTCTCCTGTTACTGTAGCTGTAGTTATTCGTAAGGGTGCAACATAGAGAAGACTAAAAGGGAAAACATTATGGAGGAGGATCTGCAGATAAATTGGTGCTGTGCGGCATTTGAAATCCTTGTATTTTTGAGCATAAATAAGTTATTTTTGGAGAATGATAGGCTAAGCTTTCTGAAGGAAAGTTTTAGGCTTTCTTTAAAGTACTTTGGGCCAATTCACTTATAGATTTTTCCTCTGTTCGGGTTTCATTGTTCCAATGCTTATGAAGTAACCCAACATTTTGGGTGCCACTGCTCATCCAACATTCACAAAGTTCAAGTGAAGACAGAGAAAAAAGACACCTCATTTAGATTGCTGTTGTTTTGTATGCTAGTGGTTGCCATTTTTCAGGTTCACACAGTACTAATGAGGGAAGGCAGACAAAATTGCCAGCTCCAAGCTGCTTATTTTTCCTGTCTTACATCCATCACGAGCTGAGCATTTCCCCTTTTTCTTCCTACTACCACCTGTAAATCATTGTACGCTTGTATGTGATACTTGCCCAAAATATGCCATCTGCAATCAATTGGTTTTGCCTTGACAAGGCTAAAAATATACTTTCCTTTTCTTCTAAGCAGAATTTTAAGTAGCAATATTTTAAAAATTATAGATAGGATAGGAAAGTAACGTTGATTTTCCAGGCTAGTAGTGGCTTGTGCCCTATCTATGTACTGCAATAAGTCAATTTTAGAGCATGCTGTGCTGAAAACTACTTGTAATATGACAGAATTCTTATATTTGGAAGAAGCAAATTTATGTACATCAGGGGTGGGAATCTTTGATCCATCAGATGATTAGGCAAGCAACCCTCACAAGCTATGCACATAAGGGGTTTATAGAGACATCATTCAGAACATCTGGAAGGCCAAAAGTTCTCCTCCACAGGTATACATCATATTTGGAAGGAATAAACTATATTTAGTAATCTACGGAAGAGCTGTGTGCTGCAAGGGTATGTTTTTCTCTAAGAATTTTAGCATACTGTGGAAAAACATGGAATGTTTTGTAGTATTTCCTATCCAAGACATACCTCATTAAGCACAGCATAGTTTTAACTTCTGTCAGACCAAATGATTTTCAGTTGCTTTACATGAAATGTTATCCTTCCCCTCAAACAGCATGCTGCTTTGGCCTGGGCCCTTCCTGAAACATTTTCACCACTGCGATCTTTTGGGTGTTGGTATTTGTAAAATATGGTATACTGTAGGCTTGTGCATAGATTCGTTTTGGATGTTTGCCTTCGTTTCTCCAGCTTGTTTGGAAGCCTGTAACGGCATGGGCTCTGCAGCCATTTTTTACCAGCCGCAACAGAACAGTGGCTGTCAAAAACCTCCTGTTTTTGGTTTCTTTTGGTTACACATGGAGTGTGGGAAGGAGGCAGTCACTAGAAGGAAAAGAATTCCAGGAAGCAAGGTTTTTAAAGCCCTCCCTTCTCTCTTGATTTGGAAGCAGAAAGGAGATTGAAACGTGAGGGGGGTAAGGCACCAGTTCTCCTTTCCGGGGGCCCCAAATCAAGAGAGAAGGGAGGGTTTTTTTTTAAGGAAACCCAGGGTAGGATACCTCAAGGTCGATCCCTCTTCCTTCCCCGGGAAATGGAACGCCTCCCTTAAATGCCTTGGAAAACTACCTCCTGCAGGGAGAGAGCTGCGTGCACCTGCAGCTCCTGTTTCCTCTAGAGTAGAAACAGCTTTATTGAAGCATTAAACCCAGATTATCTCTAAAGTCAGAAGGAAAAGGATCCCAGGAAGCAGAGTTTCTTAACCATCCCTTCTCTCTTGATTTGGAAGCAGGAAGGAGACTGAAGTGCCGAGGGGGAAAAAGACATTCTAAGGTGTTGCCAGTTCTCCTTTCTGGTGCCTCCAAATCAAGAGAAGGGAGGGCCTTTTTAAGGAAGCCCAAAGTAGGATACCTCCAGGTTGATCACTTTTCCTTTCCTGGAAAATGGGAAGCCCCCTTAAAATGCCTTGGAAAACTGCCTCATGCAGGGAGAGAGTTGTATGGTGTGTGCTTCTGGTGCTCCTGTCTCCTTTACGTAGAAATAGCTTTAGCTAAGCATTAAACCCAGGTCTCTCTACAGACAGAAAGGAAAGGATCATAGAAAGAGTGATATCTTAACTCTGATACTTTTAATCCATGTCTTAATGAAGGATTAAAGAGCAAACAATGTCTAAAATGATGGGAAGGGGAGCCTGGGAAGCCCCCCTCCCCCATAATGGGCTGGGTAGAAAATGAATCTTTTGGCTTCTCAAATTGAAAATGGATTTCTGTCGTCTGGAATTCGGGAAGCTCCCAAAAAATGGATCAGGTCCCCCACAGAAATCTGGGTCATCAATACAGATAGTGGTTTAACCAGATTGCACAAGCCTAGTATACAGTTTAAATCCTATTCCTGGAACTCTCCCAGTTTTGTAAAATGTAAATGTGCTTTGTGTTTTAAAAATGAGCTTTAACTGTCATACAATGCTTCATGTATCATATATATTTAATGCACTTAATTTCAACGATTATCTTTTTGTGTGGGCTACTTTTTAGATTCTGGCATAGACCATCAAGCTCTTCTCCAACAGTTTGAGCATCTGAACCACAACAACCCGCATACCTTTGAAGCTAAAGATTTAGACATGCTAATCAAAGCCGTAAGTGTTGAGCCAATCTTTCCCCAAATGCTTGCTTGCTCTTTTTCCTATATTTTTCTACAGTAGAAACCACATGTTTTCCTTCTTTTTCATTTTGAATAACTTCCATAGTTACTTTAGACATTATAGTCTAAGAATGCTGTTTGGCTCTGTCATGTAATATTGTGCCACAAAAGAATTTTTGGGGCATTTAAAAACAGTCAGTTCATTTTTCTTTTAGTGTCTCATGTGACATACAGTTTCATGCCAATATAAGCAGCCTTAAGTTTCTCTACTGCCTTTGAATGCTCTTTTGACCTATGTCAGCTAATGCCCTTTTATCTTTAGCTCGGCGGGTTTCTTGTAGGTCTGTATGTACATGACTCATGCGGCATTAATTAATTAAACAACGTTGGTTGTTTAATCTGTCTTTTAACCAATTGCCTGATTACACTAATATGTATTTGGATATTATCAAAGCTTAGCTCCCTTTAAAAATTAAAGAAAGTGACAGCTAATTCACAACTTTAAAAAGATTCTGTGATTCAAATTCAGTTAGGACAACCAAAATAGTCATATATTATAACAGGTCTGTGACTGATTAAAATTGCTGTTCTACAGATCATTCCATTGAAGCATTAGTTAATTAATCCGACAATCAAAGCTTAATGGCTTGTTTTTTTTTAAATAAAAGTAAAGTTGGACACACACATACATCACCATTTCTTGTGGACTTAGAGCAAATGAGTGTATTGCCAGACATGAAATACATCAAATTTGTCTTTGCCCTGATTTTTTTCTTTATGAAATTGGCTAAAACAGTTAGAAGGACAGAACTGTAGAATGAAATACTTGGCATTTACATAGTACTTGGCACTGTCCAAAGTGTGGCAAATAGATTATCTCAGTAGGAGTTAGAAAAACCTTTTAAGTAGACCAGTCCTATTTTTGCCTTCCTGCAAATGGGGAGGACAGAGGCTGAGAAACCGTGAATGCTTAGCTCCCCCTAGTGAGTTCAGTGCTGAGTGAGACTTCCAAAGAATGTTTTGGGACACTGTGTTCTTACTACAGTATGTTATATATTAGTAAGAGAGATAGATACTTGTGGAAATGTTTATTTTTCTTCTTTAGAATAGTGAATGATGGTGAATAGCAATATGAAGAGACAGAAGCAGAATTAGAATACTAGTGATGGAGTCAGACTATAATTTGTATGTACAGGGGCCAACTTGCCTGCGTACCTGCTGGCGAGAATTAAGACACCATCTGTGCTGGCAGGCAAAGTCTGTGGGACTTCTTTTGGCGGCTAGCTGGGGGAAGCCATGTAAGTCTTGCCTCCCTTTTTTTTAAGAGGAAAAAGGGAAAAATGCAACTATTATGCAGTGAAATATGGTAATTCTAGAAGTACTAAATAGATTTACTAAAAGTATGTTTCTCATTCAGTTGACATACTTCATAATTCCTGAGCAGCTGAGAAAACATGTTGTTCTTCCAGCCACACAAAAATTCACCCAAAAGGATTTTAATCTCAAATATGTAATTATGTCCACCTGAAATCAAATGTCTTTCTCCACCACTGGAGAGTGGGCAGTCACTGAAGACTTAGATGTCAGGAAAAAAAATGACCAGTTGCATGCCCATAAGCATAAGGATAGTTTTCTTTAAAAAGGAAAGAAAGTATCAGGCAGCTGAGTTCGTTGTCCTTAGAAAAAGCAATGCCTGATCAACAACACTGGTGGTCACGTTGTGATGGAATGCAGAAAAAGAAACCCTAATCTTGCCAGTTTTGTTGATAAGTATTGATTTAAACATTTGACCCTTGGAAATACTTCTGCACTGTATGACCTCCATATCCACACGATGTGTACATCTAACAAAATATGTCCTCTCTGGGAGTTTTCTAGGTTTTCCATATGATTCTGTGGTATACTTCTGTTGGTAATTACCATAGAGCAGGCCTGCACAACCTCCAGATGTTTGGGCCTCCAATTTCCAGAAGCTCTAGCCAGCTGTTTCAATGGCCAGGAATTCTGGGAGCTGAGGTCTAAAACACCTGGAGGGCAGTAGGTTGTGCAGGCCTGCCATAGAGTCAGGCCTGTAGCGAGGGGGTGGTTTTAGGGGTTCAACACCCCCCCCCGAAATGTTTCAGATTTTTTTAAAAAACCTGGTTTACTCATGAATTTTAACTGGTTAACCAAATCCATGCTAAGTCTATGAGATGCAAAAAATTAAGAGTCCCTCCAGAACTGCAAGCACTATCTCAAGCAAATATTGACAATTTATTCACACTGTCATTACTTGCAGCAATAGCCGATGTAGTGAAGCAACCAAGTTGGGGGTGTGTGTGTTGAATGCTCTCATTAAGGAGGCCAGACTTGGTGGAGGTGGTTGACAGGGGTGGGGCTGCAGGCTATTGAAGGTTGCTCTGCCCCCTGCTGTGCTCTTTGATTCAGTGTGAGCTAGGAGGCAGGTTTCAACCCCCCCCCTGCGAAATTTTCACCCCCCCCCCCCCGCCGAAATTGTCAACCCTCCCCGAAATTTTTTTCTGGCTACGGCCCTGCATAGAGTCACCATATAATAATAATAATAATCATCATCATCATCATCATCATCATCATCATCTGTTTATATTCTGCCTTATCTCCCCTGGGGGACTCAGGGCAGATTCCAACAAACAAAAAGGCCTCAATGACAATATTCAGTGCCTCAATGGCAATAAGTGCAAATATAATTACACAGAAGAACCCCACATAAAAGACATCTTAAATATAAACACTATAACTTAAATAAAGCGTAATCTATCAAAAATTATAACTAACATAAAACGTGAACATAAAACATCTGAATTAATTTACAAAAGCACCACAAAGGTTCACAGATGTGTACATTGATTGTATGGCCAATTACGTTAAATGGGCTATTATGGACTAGCAAGGCCCAAATGCATTTATACCTTCCAATCAGCAGTCATGGAGGACCTACAATTGAATTATTCACTTCAATACCGTTTACTATTATCCACAGCATCCTGTTTCCAGGATAATTCAAGAACATATTCTCCACAGACATGGGGTTGTACTGTATTTGATAATCTTGATTATAATGCAATGCCCTCCTTCAAACATCCTGTCATCAATCCTGTGATTCTGACTGTTATAATTTTGGCAAAAAAAGTGATTTGAGCTGTAACATCTGTTCAACTCGTTTAACCTTACATACTCTGTACATAGATGAGTGCCACACAAGCTTTATAGTGGTGAGTCACCCCAGACAGATCTGCTAAATCACACTGCATTGCTATCCTTTCATCTATCGAATGGAGAGAAAGGCTATAGGCTATAAAGTGGTGGAGTAAATGCACACGAAAGCTGTGCTGGGCTGAAAGAAGTAGTTCATGCTTCATGGTACAGTGGGTTGGCCTCATTGAGGAAGCAAGCACATTTTTATTTGTCTTTTTTTTCAAAACGTGCAGGCCACAAGTGACTTAGAAAACTACGACAAAGCCCGTCATGAGGAGTTTAAACAGTATGAGATGATGAAAGAACATGAAAGAAGAGAATATTTAAAAACACTGGATGAAGAAAAGCGACGTCAGGAGGAAGCAAAGTATGAGGAACAGAAGAAAAAGCATGCTGATCATCCCAAAGTGAACCATCCTGTAAGGACTTTGAGATGGTGCAAGGGGACAGAGGAAATCTTTCTCTCTTCTGTTTTTTGTTTGCTTATTATTTTAAAAATGTTCTATGGAAACTCTGCTTCTAATATAGTTGGTTATTAGTTGAAAGAAGATTATCTGGAATTTGATTTCTTTCTTTGACAGGTAATATGCAGCTACATTGCCTTAAATATGAATTTAAGGCAATGTAGCTGCAACAAATATGTGTAATAATTTACACTTGTTATTTGTGTTCAATTTGCAGGGAAGCAAAGACCAATTGAAAGAGGTGTGGGAGGAAGCAGATGGGCTAGACCCCAATGACTTTGATCCAAAGACCTTTTTCAAGCTGCATGGTGAGGAAACATAAAGTTTACTGTTTTATTTTTTTAAAAAATCTTCAGTAATAATGCAAGTCTTTTAGCATTTTACAGACTGATTTGTTATTGCATTTACTTTTTGCAGACTTTAGTGCCAACTTCATCAGATACATGAAAAGAGGGAAATGTCTGATGTTTGATTGCCTAAAATTTATAACAGAGTTTTAATCTGAAGTTTAGAGAGTACTTGTAAAATGTTAGGATGAAAAGTGGATTTATCCCACAATGTTTATGTAATACTAACAACACTCTTATTACTCAGGCCTTGAGTCATTCTGAATTCTATTTAAATATTATTCACTTAGGATTTTACTTTGAGTGTTTTCTAGGCATGCAAGAAAGTAGAAATTTGGAGAGCAGGATTTTTGAAACTTCTTGGTTCATTTGTTAAACAAAAGAGAGTGTTTACATTTGTTTAAATTGATTTAAAACCAAATAGCAGACATGATCAGACAAAAAGTTGTTATACATAATCTCTGTGTCAGTATTAAGTGCAGATGTTGACTTAGCATTGTATTGATGGATAAGACCTTGTATTCATGAGTGTAGTCACTTTTCACAAAAGCTATTATTTAAAAGTCTTACATGTTTTACAGATGTCAACACTGATGGTTTTCTAGATGAGCAGGAGTTAGAAGCCTTGTTTACTAAAGAGGTAAATATCTGTAAACTGACTAGTGCAATTGAGGTACATCGTATGAGTAGAGACGGTCTAGGTGTGGGCTGCTAGGATAGCAGCCCATACTTTGGAATCCTAGGTGTGCTTAATGAGTATATGCATCACACTGAAGATTATTTTTCTGGTTCAGTATATCCTTATAAAATGGCAAATATAATAATATTTTCTATTCCAAATCAGAATTCAGTTCAACTAAATATGTATGATGTTACATATGCAGAAGAAGGGTTTTGTATAATTTGCAATGCAGTAGATTAAGTCATTTATATAGAAAATCAATAAGGCATTAAGAAATAATTATACTAATTGACATTCAGCATGTTTATTGTATGTGCAGTCAGAAAAGTCAAAGAATGACTTATGAATCAATATACTCAGGAGAGAATAATGTCAGTACAGGTTGAGCATCCCTTATTTGGAAATCTCAAATGCTCCAAAATCCCAAATAGTCCAAATGGAGATACTGACACCTTCACTTTCTGATGGTTCAGTATATAAAAACAAAAACTTTTTTGTGTTCAAAAATGATTTTTTAATACTGTGCATAAAATTATCTTCAGGCTATGTGTATATGAAACATAGATACATTTTGCGTTTAGACTTTATTTCATTATGCACATATATGAAAATATAAGCATTCTAAAATCTGGGGAAAAAATCCAAAACATTTCTGCTCTGAAGCATTTTGGATGAGGGATACTCAACCTTTAGCACTATACTTCTGAACTGCCACTATATGCAGATTTATGCCACCATTTTGGAAATCTGTGAGCTAACAACCCATACGCTGGGGCAAAGAATTTGTTTATGAAGGGAAGGGACACATCCACTCGTGTGTGGAGGTACTGAGTGGGACAAATAAATGAGCTTCCTGTTTTAGTTTGCTCAAGTTGGGGGCAAGGGAGCTTGACTACCATGAACCTTGTTACAGTAATCTGCCCCAGAGATTACTGGATGATTTTGATCCTGCTTTCTGGGGAGTAGGATGAGTGTTTAGCTTTGAATATGCATCAAATATGTTCGAATGATTTTAACTGTGAATCTTTTTAATACTCTCTATATTTAATTCTGTTTTAATATTTGTATAGTTAAAATGCTGTGCTAACATTTTATGTTAAGCCGCTTTGAGTCCCCTTTGGGGGAGATAAAGCAGGGTATAAATAAATATAATAAAATAATAATAATCTGTACTTATTGCATTGGTCCTGTCTACCACCAATTAATGCAGCCCACAGAGTCTATATGGTATGTTTCTAACTGCTGAGAAAATATGGCCACAGCATTTTAGGGTTCCTCTTGTCGAATAGTTGTGGGACATGTTAAAACCATGGGCTCTATGTTGTCCTTGTTTATTATATGTTCAAGAAGAAAGCTTAGGAACAAGAAGTGATGCCATTTATTACACTGGCCATTGATATCACAACCTGGCATTCATACTCTGGGTCTATGGATATGAATCTGTATGCTTTGCATGTTTATATACTGTGCTCCTTTACAGACAGAGAGTCAATCTCATTTTGTTTTGCTAATTTTGAAATCTGTAAGGTTGAGGTGCCAGCCCTTTCTGAAGAGATCAGAGATTTAAGTCAGTTCAGTGAATGGAAGGAAGAAACCACATTTTTGTTGTTGGATAAAGATAATCTAATTCAAAGAAATCTGTAATTTATTTTCCACTGTATCAAAATAAAAGCCAAATACACTCACCATATTACATAGTTTAACAATAACAGTTGTGGATAATTTTCTTCAAATAAATACAAATGCATACAAGTATAAAAAGTACAATAAATATGTTTCTGGGTGGCTCTCTTTTTCAGTTAGAGAAAGTGTATGATCCCAAAAATGAAGAGGATGACATGATAGAAATGGAAGAAGAGAGGCTACGAATGAGAGAACATGTCATGAATGAGGTAATGCCAAGGTTTCATGTTTCTAGAAAAACCAGTTGTGCACATAATTCTGCTATTATGACAAGAGTTCCAGTAGAACATATGGACAGTTCACACAATGCTTTTATGCAAATTGCAAGTTTCCCTATCTGTCACTAGGCACAGAGGTAAATGGAAAACATGAAAAAGCTAAGTTTGGATATGACTGGCTCCAGTGCCCTATGGATATAATGGCATTTCTTCTAGCTGTGTGTCATCATGGAAACAGTTTTTACTGGTCCCTAGGACCCACTAGTTCGTACAACTATCCACAGAAAATGCATAATAAAAGCACACTCAGGACTGGCAGAATCGCTTCCCTAGAGAGAGTACTGAGGTCTTTCTGTGGAGGGATTTCTACAATTTGGGGCAGAACTCTGTTCCTCCTATGCTTGAACGTAGCTTGATCAATGTGGCATGCTGATCCTCAACAAGGACTGAGGAATTCTGCAATATCCTTTTGCAGTCCATCATTCGTGTTATCTCCTTGGGCAAGTTAGTCTCACTTCATGCTTGAAGGCCAGGGTTAGATTGAAGCTTTATCAGGATGGTTGAAATGAAATACACTGAGGGGAAAGGAGAAGACAGGGCTTGTAGAAAATGATATGATCCTTATCTCTATCCACAAGCAGAAGGATTATTTGTGCTTTTGAACAGCCCTCAGATTTAAAAAGCTAAGGGCTGTTTATGTTCTGTTTATATTGCATGTTGGACACATTTATGTATGTATGTATTCATTTGAGCAAGAGCAATAATTTCAAAACAGCAAAGCAAGAATGAAGCTGAACCCAGGAAACTAGCAAATAAACTGCATAGTATGTAATGTAACAAATGTATTGCCTGACATACCCATATAAGCAAAGAAAACATTGATATGTATCAGCAGTCTATAACTGCTTTCCCCAGCATTTTTTAAATTTCGTACATTCAAGTCACAGGGTTTGTATTTTTTGGGGATGGCGGAGGGGAAGCTTTCCTTAATTTGCTTTCAATATAGATGCTGTATTTCATATGTCCAAGCTAGAGCTTGTTTTTTTACTAGGTAGCGTCAGCAGATAAAGATAAAATATTCTTCACAAATGACAGAATAAAAAATACTTTCATCATACAAAAATGGTAAAAAAAATTCCCTTTCCCATCAAGGACCAGAGCTTTTACAATGTAAATTATTTTAAATATTAAAAAATTGTCCTGAATGAAAAAAATCCCTTGATGATAGAATTTTGTATGTACCTTTTATCTCTGACTAGGTTCTTTAACATTCAAAAAGACCTAAGACTGAACATATATATTTGTAAAAGTCTTGTAGAGTCACAAGTCTTTCATGTGATTGATAAAACCTCTAGTTGTTGATTTGCATTTTAAAATCTCTATTTTCTATTGAGAAAGAGAAGACTTGGTATTGTGGAAATATTTGTATTCTGTCATCTGTTTCATCCATTCTAAATGTGGAAGACAAATCTTGTTAGAACAAATTTGACTTGGAGAGATGAGTTGGCATATTTGATTGCGATGTTTTGAAAATCTAATTTCACCATCAAGATATTTTGCGCTATTTACAGTCAGTGTTTTTTGTGTCAATTCTATAACAAAAGCATATGTCACTTAATTTTTTAAAAAAAGTTACATATAACTACTAATTCAGTGACCTAAAGTAGCTATATCTGTTTCTATCTATTTTAAAAGGTTGACATCAACAAGGACCGGCTAGTGACTTTGGAAGAGTTCCTCAGATCTACAGAGAAAAAAGAGTTTTTGGAACCAGACAGCTGGGAGGTAATATAATAGTGTTCAGGTAGAATGTCTACACCTTAAAGCCACCTGTTAACTTATGGTGAATCATAGTTTTGTTTTTTTGGACAAGGAATTAATATTAAGGGGTGGTCTTGCCATTTCCTTCCTTTGAAATATAGCCTATAGAACCAGCTATCCATGTACTACCAAGCCTGACGTTGTTTAGCTTCCAAGATCAAACAGGATCTGATGTGTTTAGGATATATAGAACCAAGGCCTGGAGTCATAAGTCTGATCAAAACAAAGTGTAGTCTTTTTACTTTGGATTCCTCTCCTCAGAGTGATGAGCTCTCCCAGGATCATCCCAACTTTTGTATTGCTCTTCCATTTATTTAGAAGTAGACTCACTGCACCCCCTAACCTCCGCAGAGGTGGAGGACCCATTAAATGGTCCGCCCCAGGAGGCTTATGGATCCGGATGGATTCCTGACGGCTCTTGGGGAATTTCCCGCCACCTCGGTTGGTGATCCTGTTGATGCTCTGGTCGCTCTCTGGAATGGGGAGATGACTAGGGCAATAGACACGATTGCTCCAGAACATCCCCTCTCAAGTAGCCGAGCTAAACCAGCTCCTTGGTTTACGGAGGAGCTGGCAGCGTTGAAGCGAAAGAAGAGGGAACTAGAGAGCGTGTGGCGTTCGGATCCGAGCGAGCCAAATCGAACACGGTTTGTGTCCTTTTTAAGGGCATATGCCGCGGCAATAAAGGCCGCAAAGAAACTTTCTTTGCGGCCACTATTGCGTCTGCAAAGAACCGTCCGGCTGAACTGTTCCGAGTTGTCAGAGGCCTATTAAAACCCACCACTCAGGATGGGTGCCCTGATGACTCGGCAGCTCGCTGTGAAGCCTTGCTCAGTTCTTTGCAGACAAAGTCGCTTTGATCCGCTCTGGACTGGATACCATATTAACGGCAGTATCTGAGGATGTAACACGAGCATCTGCTTGTCCGGTTTTGATGGATTCATTTCAATTGGTTCAATCCGAGGATGTGGACAAGGTGCTTGGAGGAATGAGAGCTACCACATGCATCCTAGACCCCTGCCCATCCTGGCTTCTGAAGAAGGCCAGAGGGGGATTGGCCAAGTGGGTGAAGGTGGTGGTTAATGCCTCCCTTCGGGAGGGCAAAATTCCAGCCAGCTTAAAGCAAGCTGTGATAAAACCGCTGTTGAAAAAACCATCACTGGACCCCACTCAATTCGTCAACTATCGGCCTGTTTCCAATCTCCCCTTTTTGGGCAAAGTCCTGGAACGTGTGGTGGCCTCACAACTCCAGGCATTCTTGGTAGACACGGATTATCTGGATCCGGCACAGTCTGGCTTTAGGGGGGCATGGTACCGAGACAGCCTTGGTCGCCTTAGTGGATGATCTGCGTCGGGAGCTCGACAGGGGGAGTGTGTCCCTGTTGGTGCTGCTCGACCTCTCAGCGGCCTTCGATACCGTCGACCACGGTATCCTTCTGGGACGCCTCGCGGGGATGGGTCTTGGAGGTACTGTTCTGCAGTGGCTCCACTCATTCCTCGAGGGTCGGTCTCAGAAGGTGTTACTGGGAGACTCCTGTTCAACCCCACAACCTTTGTCTTGTGGGGTTCCTCAGGGTTCAATACTGTCTCCCATGTTGTTTAACATCTACATGAAGCCGCTGGGCGAGATCATCCGGAGTTTCGGGGTGCGATGTCATCTGTACGCAGATGATGTCCAACTCTGTCACTCCTTTCCACCTGCTACTAAGGAGGCTGTCGAGGTCCTGAACCGGTGCTTGGCCGCTGTGACGGTCTGGATGGGGGCGAACAAATTGAAATTGAATCCAGACAAGACAGAGGTACTCCTGGTTAGTCGCAAGGCCGAACAGGGTATAGGGTTACAGCCTGTGTTAGACGGGGTCGCACTCCCCCTGAAGACGCAGGTTCGCAGTTTGGGTGTGATCCTGGACTCATCGCTGAGCCTGGAACCCCAGGTTTCGGCGGTGACCAGGGGAGCATTCGCACAGTTAAAACTTGTGCGCCAACTGCGACCGTACCTTGGGAAGTCTGACTTGGCCACGGTAGTCCACGCTCTGGTTACATCCCGTCTTGACTACTGCAACGCTCTCTACGTGGGGTTGCCTTTGAAGACAGCCCGGAAGCTCCAATTAGTCCAACGGGCGGCAGCCATGATACTAACAGGAGCGGGGCGCAGGGAGCACACAACTCCTCTGCTGCACCAGCTCCACTGGCTGCCGATCTGCTACCGGGCTCAATTCAAAGTGCTGGCGTTGGCCTTTAAAGCCCTAAACGGTTCTGGCCCAACTTATCTATCCGAACGTATCTCGGCCTATCAGCCCACCAGGACCCTAAGATCTTCTGGGGAGGCCCTGCTCTCTATCCCGCCTGCTTCACAGGTGCGGCTGGCGGGAACGAGAGAGAGGGCCTTTTCTGTGGTGGCCCCTCGGCTTTGGAACACCCTCCCCATAGAGGTAAGATCAGCCCCCTCACTGATGGTGTTTCGAAAAAGATTGAAGACATGGATGTTTGAACAAGCATTCGGTTAATCCGGTGCAATGAATTTTGATGATTAAAGGATTGGTAATCATGGACGATGAATTTGGATTGCGATTCCAGTTATGATATGCGTTTGGATTGTTATTGGTGGCCCAATAATTTGTATTGTATATGTGTTTTTTACGCTTTTTATGCTTTTAAACTGAATATTGTTGTTCTTTGTAGTGTTGTAAACCGCATTGAGTCGCCGATTTAGGCTGAGAAATAGCGGTATACAAGCGCAGTAATAAAATAATAAAATAATAAATAAATAAATAAAGCCTCATGTTATATGTATGTATGGGGAAGAGGGGTGAGGGATGGCTGGGGAGCTGGGCTGTGGAGAGGTGATAGAGGGAGGGGGAAACCCACATATAAATGATGGCCCTTCCTCTCTTCCCTCTGTATGGTGGGGGAAGCCTGGACGATCCCCGTTCCCCCTTTTGCTCACTGGCTTGGCCCAAGCCTCACCCTTGCAGAGAGGAAAGGACCTGGCTTTTGGGGTTTCCCCCTCCCCACTTGCTCCCTGGCAAGTGAAGAAAGTAGAGGGAAAAGAAGGAGAGAAGGAGGAGAGGAAGAGGATGTAGTAGAAGAGAGGAGGAAGGAGGAAGGAAGAGAGAGAGAGAGGATGGAGGGAGGAAGGTAGTAAATATATGGAAGGATGTCATAAGGAAAAGGGAGCAGGCTTGTTTTTTGCTGATCTGGAGACAAGGACTAGGGGCAATGGGTTCAAATTACACTTGAATATTAAGAAGAACTTCCTGATCATAAGAGTTGTTCAACAGCGGAACACTCTGCCTCAGAGTGTGGTGGAAGCTCCTTTAGAGGCTTTTAAACAGAGTCTGGGTGGCCATCTGTTAAGAGTGCTTTGATCGTGCTTTTTCTTTATGGCAGGAGGTTGGGCTGAATGGCCCATGTGGTCACGTCTAATTCTATGATTCTGTGATTGTATGATTCTAATAATAGGAGGAAGAGAAATGCAGAAGGGAGGAAGAGGAGAAGTTCATCATGTTCCCATAACTTTTTCATTCATATCTAACAATGTACTGCAATGTACTTCTTTTTCAGACCCTGGATCAACAGCAAATGTTCACGGAGGAGGATCTGAAGGAATATGAAAGTCACATTTCCCAGCAAGAAAATGAACTGCAGCTACAGGCATTAGAACTTCAGAAAAAGAAAGAAGAGTTACAAAGGCAACAAGACCAGTTGCAGGCTCAGAGACAAGAACTCGAACAGGTGCTTCTAGAATAGTTGAAAGGTTTCCTATCACTTTAATTCATTCATTACAGGTGTGACTCAGTTAACGAAGTGCATGTGCTCCTAGACATTACTACTTTAACAGAAAAATTAGTACCAGTGGCAGAAAGAATATGGAATGAATAGGGTTAGGTTTCTACAGTAGAAAACGAGAAAGGCAATTCAATCTGTATCAGCAATAATTGTATTCAGTACTAATGATATGTACATGTGAAATGAAACAACCAGGTCAGGTATAAGTGAAGAAAAACATTTTGGATCCTTGAGCCATTTTTTCCCTTTACTTATATAAAACTTATCTGACCTGATTGTTTCATTTCACAAACTTCCATCTAGACAGAGGACAAGGAGAAAGGGTGGGGTTTAGAAGCACTAAGATATTATTTGGTAGAAAAATTGTTAGCTGAACTATGTCTCTATATTTATAATAAGATGACTACCTAATTACATTTATATTGAAAGTATACAGCCTTTAGAATGTATTAGTTGGTTCCCATGTTGAGAATGCCTGGGCAATATCACCATGACTTGCATCAGTACCGTTCCTGGGTTGCCTAAAGAGATCTTGATTAGCATGGTCTGAAAACAATGTTTATTCAAGGTCTTGACGAGTTGTTATAGAAGTACACTCAAGGCAGCTATTTGCTACTTTTCTCCTGCAGCATTTATATATTGTTTATGATTGGGTTGTTTCAATCTAGTCCAGTGGTTCTCAACCTGTGGGTCCCCAGATGTTTTGGCCTTCAACTCTCAGGAATCCTAACAGCTGGTAAACTGGCTGCGATTTCTGGGACTTGTAGGCCAAAACACCTGGGGACCCACAGGTTGAGAACCACTGGTCTAGTCCTTCTGATTATATTGCAGTATCATAACTTGCTGTAGTTGTATATTGCATCTGTTTTTTTTTTTTGCCATCCCAGTGTTGAGCAAAAGGCAGAATATAAGCAATATAAAATGTAAATAGTAATACTGAGCTAGATGGTCTGAGTTAGGATATTTCTGCTACATTTGTGCTCTTTGCTATTTCACTGGAATTTATGCTAAAGAAAAAGATACACTCAGTAGATGGAAAAATGTGAGATTATCCTGCTGGGCTCATTGGGTGACCTCTGGTTTTCTGTGTCGTTATGAATTATGGAATCAGGAGGCCCATGTCTTTGCTTTCTTGATTGTCTTAAACCATTAGTTCTGCAGGTTAGGCAGGTATTTTACTGTTACACGGTAGAACCTTGTTTGTGTTTTAATAGAGAGCCTTGTTTGAAGTAGACACCATGATACTCCTTGATTTAAATATTTGTCATCTCATTGCATATAAATTTTTCACTGTCCAACAGGCTGTTCAACAAATGGAAAAGAAGAAGTTACAGCAAGGACATCCTCCCTCAGGACCGAATGGAGAGCTGAAATTTAACCCCCGTAAGTACATTATTTCCCTCTCTGTGCATTTTCCCCTTTTCAATTATTCTCCAAAATCCAGGATCACATCACAAATGGGGGAACAGAAATACCCACTTTTCTTCTGTCACTTTAACAGCATTCTGTAGCCAACTATTGGAATTACAGGGTTGTAGTTGGACTAGCATAGCTATGATAAGGAATGCTAGAATTCAAAGTTCAACAGTATTTGGAGAGCCACACATTTCTCTCTCTGGCCCTTGTCAGGCCTCCTAGTGTCTTGAAAAGTTTGTTTTTATTTTAATGGTTTTATATAAAAGTTTGACAACTTGTGGTTTAGGCAGATAAAATAGGATATTTTAAAATAAACCCATAAAATAAACCCATAGATCAGCGAACTGGGGAAATCCCCCTCCCTTCAAGTATTTATAATACTTTTAGATATATCTAGAAGAAGGCTTGAAAAACAAAACTGGAAGAGGAAGTCCCTACCAAACATTTTCTTAGGCCTTTCCGCAACAACAGATGACAGTACATTCCTGCAGATGGATATGCATTCAGTTTCTCAAGCTTGAAAAATAACGTTGCCATTGATTTCAGTCATAGTAGACTTTGGGGTTATTTGGGGTGATCAGGTGCACTTCATCTGGGCGAGAGACAGTTCCAGCTTCAACAAGGCTCTTAACGTCTCACTGCGATTCATGGAGCTTGCCATTAATGATGGTGATCATTACTTAGGAGGAAATTATTTATGCCCATGAAGCCAAACAAATAACCAGCCACAAAGCCAAATGAATAACTTGGCTGGCACTAGATGTGCTACAGATGAAAGACAGAAAATTGCCATCTCATTAAACTGGAATGTCAGATGTCTGGCAATCAGAAGCCCGAGACTGGCTTCTTCCCATATGCTCCTGTTACCAAACATTTCAGAAATAAGAACTGGAAATGGTTAAACATAAAATGAAAGGCAGCTTTTATACATCTCTGAGCAGTTGCAAGTTAAAAAAAATCTTTTCAGCACTGCACAATAGGCAAGGTGTCTGTGTGCCCATAGATGAGACTAGATGTTCTATCGATTTTTAAAACAGACATTGTTATTGTATGATTCCTTGAGTTGGATGACTTAAGAAACAGTATTTATTAATAAGTACAGTCATCCCTTCACATTTGCTGGGATTACAGGTGGAAGATCCCCTGTAAAAGTGGAAAAACCACCAATTTTCTAAAAAAGCATTTTATTTTTCCTAAGAGAACACTTTTCTAGGAATTTCTAGGTCCTCCAGTGCGACTCTATAATTGACTTCTAGCTGCAGGAGACCATAGAGTTATGGTCACACTGGAGAACCTCGAGTTTCCTAGAAAGACCATATTAATCAAATCCATGAATAATCAGTAAACTCATAAATGTGGAGAGCTAAGTGTTTATGTAGAGTTTCATATTTTCAAAAGCTTATAGGATTTCTGTTAAATCCTTGATCACCTTTTTAAAAAATCTGCTAATTTTTTCTCACTTTCCAAAAACAAACAAACAAAAAGACAGAAGGGTAGGAATAGTAATGTGTATGGCCAGACTCCTGCTGATGAGCTTTGTTGATCTATGCTGAAGTTACACCTACGTTATGCAAACCCTATCTTGGGTTTTCCTCAACATCACCTCTATTAGTGATAGAGCATAAATACCGCAGGGTCTGGAAGGGGATGATAATGTACAGACAGGCTCATAAGACAGGAATCAGTATTTCAATTTCCTTTCGAATTACCTTTATAATTAAGCACCAGTAGGAGGTGAATCTTTGTCACTTAGTAGTAAATCTGCTTTGGCCTTTACTCCAAACTTGAGAGGATCTATCAAAGTTTAACCTGTTTAGCAGATGGGGTCAGCAACGTCGATAGCTGCTTTACGTTCAGACTAAATCCCAGGGCAGGTTTACCAGTTACTCAAACCACTAGCTGCCTTGTCCAGAATCTTGGACTTAACCATTTTCAGTGTCCAAATGCTCTTCAAGTGCAGGGATGCACAGACATTTTCAAAATGGCAAGTGAGTAAGGGAAGTCTTTGTGGCCGAAAAGGACCCAACCAAAACTACACAAAGGTATCTTTGGTCAGAGGAGCCACCTGAGCATCTAATCACAGTACACGTTGGGGTTATTTGGGTTGGATGTGCAAACCCTTGTTCCAGTGATTAGAACTAACAGCTTGTTCATTTGCCTCTTAAGTTTGAAACAAATTATTTTTATACACTGAATTGAACAATGAGGACATACATAGAGTTGTTCTTAGTGGTTGCTCCCTCATTTTGAACTTTTCCGCATTGGGTAGGTGTTTTACAACTATAGTTAATTGGGAAGATGTGTCCTGATTCCTGTTTATAAAAATGGCGAACTTCTTCATATCCCTTTATGGGGGAGGTAGCACTACCTTCATGTGCAGAGATATCTCTACTAATATGTAGAGCTACACCTGTAAATGAAATAAACAAATCTCTGTGTGGGTTGCTGTAAGTTTTTCAGGCTGTATGGCCATGTTCCAGAAGCATTCTCTCCTGATGTTTTGCCTGCATCTATAGCAGGCATCCTCAGAGGTTGTGAGGTCTGTTGGAAACTAGAATGGGGTTTATATATCTGTGGGGTGTCCAGGGTGAGAAAAAGAAGTCTTGATTGTTGGAAGTAGGTGTGAATATTTCAATTGGCCACCTTGATTTCTGTGTATTGTTTACACATACATAACCAACTAATTTTGCAAAATGGATCAAGTTATATAAAATACTGCCATGCATTTTTCTCAAACCTGTAGATTTTGATTACAAAGCAATTGTTTAACTGCGTTAACATGCTTTTTGCATTTTCTTCACAGCTGGAGAACAACCCATTGCTAATGTGGAAAGTCACCCAGCAGGAGGTGTTCAGCCTTTATCGCCCGGAAGCATCCCCGTACAAGACGCTGCTAGGCCAGAACATGTCCAGACTCACGCATAACCACTTGTGCCTCAATTTTATACCATATTTTGGGGAGGGAAGTGAGTTAGTCTGGGAAAGGGGGCCAGAGACTAAAGACAAATTGGGAACAGATGTTCATTTTAATCTCCATTTCAAATTGATAATGCTTAGTATCTTAATTCATCATGAAGACTTTCAAAGGCACAAATGATAGTTTTGGATCTTTGTGATGAGAAAGATCTATAAAAACATTTAACTTAAGTAGACAGCAAGATGTATCTCACCTTTCTTTCCATGAAGGCTGTTGTTTTACTTGAATATGATTTTGCCTGCCAGTTCACTTGTGCTTTGGAAAGTCTACCACCCTTGGTTCATGTTTAAATTAAATATATTCTGATCATCATCCAGAAGATACACTGATGAGGAACAAGATCAGAGAAGGGAACTCCTTGCTTCTTTCTCTCTTTTGGTAACAATGATCATGCTGACAGTTTCAATTGCCAGTGAGTATAAAGTGAAAGTTTGCTACAGCAAGACCTATTGCCAAGTATAACCAAGAGCTGCAAGAACTTGACATGTGACAGTATTTTCCTAAAAGTGCCAGCAATTGAGAGTCAGAATGTTAGGCCCGTGGATGGAGTTCTTTGTTGCTGAGCTCTCTTTTGCTTCTTGAGACTAATGAAAAGAAGTCACCTGTGATCTGATTTCAAGAAATTCCGCACATTAAAAAACTTCAGATATAATTGCAGCAGGGAGTAATGAAAAGCAGTGAATGTCTTCTGTTTACAAATGCCAACATAAGAATCCTTCAACTGAAATATTATGCCTGAAGTGTATTGATTAAGCCATCTTTATTGTCGTTGACTGAATGTAGTGAGTCAGCTGGGTCCATCCCCGCCAGTTTGTTGTGAAGATCTTTTTGTCCTCTTTCCTTTCATAAGATGTCAGTTTCATTTATCCCTCTGTATGCTATGAAACCGAGCTCTTTAGATGATGAAAAAATATTTTCAGAGTTAGTGAAGACCTTTCATTGTCTTTTCCTGAGCAAAACAGCTTACCCCCTGCTGTAAGAGATTTTTTTTCAAAAGCAGCGTGTTTGAAGCAGCACTTCACAAAAGCTGCATTCTGAGTATAAGCTGAAATGCTTTCTCAGTTTTCAATACTAATTGAGGTAAAAGGCATGTGATTTTTGATGTGGGTATTTCCCAGAAATACTAAGTTGGTAACTTTGAGAATAATTCAGGCCTTTTCAGACAGTGGCTTCAATTTTCTGGGGGCGACATAGCTGTAATAATTTTAGCACAAAAAGAAATAACAAGTTCTTTGTAGATGGAGCCCATTATAATTTAAATGTATTTCTCCCTCTGTTAATCCTACTTGGACAAATCCTTGATGAAAATTGTATTAATATTGGTTGCAAAACATTTAAAGCAGTGGTTCTCAACCTGTGGATCCCCAGATGTTTTGGCCTACAACTCCCAGAAATCCCAGCCAGTTTAACAGCTGTTAGGATTTTTGGGAGTTGAAGGCCAAAACATCTGGGGACTCACAGGTTGAGAACCACTGATTTAGAGTCAAATCACATGCCTTTGTGGGACCAAATGGAGGTTAGAACACTGAACCAAACGGAACCTCAGACACCAGCTCTTATGTACGTTCCATTAATTAAGTAGGTCTCCCTTAGTTGAAACTAAATACTCTTAAACCTGAACCTTCAAAGCAGTCCTAATACTGAAAAAACTTATAACCATTTGTATTTCCAAGAAATTTGAGATGGTTTGTCATTTTTATACAGAATTTCAAAGAACTGTTCTCCAGAGGAAATAGAAATGAAAGTCAGAGATTTGCTGTACAAAGGTTCAGAAGGAAAAGTATGATATACAACCCATTTACTCATGCAGATTTTGACCTTCTTGTGATGTAGTTTCTCTTTTAGTGGGCTACTTTTTAATGATAACTACCTTCTCTTGAATGACTTTTCATACTCTTTTTACATGAAACAGGTATTTTCCTATTTGCCTATTTAGGGCCTTTTGAGATATAACTATTAAGGCATGCGGGAGACACAATTTTTTAGGGTTTCTCCTTGCCTCGAAATGTGCAGCCTTGCCTTGTGCAGATCTCCTCCTTAATCACACCATCATGAATGCCACAATTTGAGTGATTGCCAAAACATATTGAAAGCTGAATTTTCTGTTGAAGCTGTAGTGTCTGTTGAGTAATAAGTACTCAACATTTGGCTTTGCATAGCCTGGAAGGCCGTGTGAGAAAACTTTACATAGAATGAACCCTGAGACTTGCAAGCTGAGCTTGTGCCCCTGACCCTCACCACCCTAATTTAATTTTGCCTCTCTTTCACTTGCTTTTGCCCTTGGTGTCTCTCCTGCTTTGAAAGTCTTTCAGTTCTCTGTTCTTTTATGATCCTAAGAAGAATATTGTGATGTAGTTGGGATTCAGTGACAGAATTCTTTCTGTGATTTTGCTGCAACCTCATAGCAACCTCTTAGGAGGATAGTTGCAACTACAAGCATATTTTTAATCAGAATGGTTCAAAAGATGTGGCCAACAGACATCATGAGAGTACACGATTGATATTCGATGGTTTAATTCTTATAAGACAGGCAGATGGCTCTCCAGGTGTTTTGGACTTCAACTCCCAGAAATCTCAACCAGCCTACCGGCTGTTAGGAATTGTGAGAGTCCAAACAGCAGGAGGGTCAAAGTTTGCCCATGCCTGTTATAACATATACAGCAAACCACCACCCCAACCCAGCCGAGGCTCTTGTGTTTTCTGTTCTTTACTTGAAACAGTATGCTCCACAGGCACATATTTGACCAGCAGCTTAGGTCAAGGTTGTGATGCTTGCTTGAGGCCCATCTAATTGAAACACAAAAAATCCGTCCCTTCTGTATTTTGTTTTTAGCCTCACAAGTATTTTCAGCCCTAAACAGCCTGCTGTCCTTTAATTTTATGCAACATTCATCTCTGTTTTACCCTATGAATAAAATCAGATGACTCTCAAAATGAGATAATTGTGTGCCTTGCAATCCACAAAGTTGTCTTTTTCACTTACATATTTTGCTTCAAAACATGTTTAGGTGCCTGATACTTCACTTAGCATCACTACCAGCCAAGCCATATTTTGAAAGAGAGATGGTAGAGGGTCAATAGAGGTAGTGTGGTGTAGCAGTCTGGATCTGGGGAAACAGAAACACCTGCTCAGCCATGGAGACCCACAGGATAAGTCACACACACTCAGCATCAGAGGAAGGGAATGGCAAACCTCCTTTGAACAAATCTTGCCAAGAAAACCCCATTATAAGATTGGCATAAATCAGAAACATGCTGAAGACCCAAAACCACTCCACAAGGCTTAAGTTCACTGAAATCAAGTGTTTTTTTCCGTTTCTGGTGTGAAAGAATTGGCCATCTGCAAGGACGTTGCCCAGGGGACACCCGGATGTTTTATCATCCTGTGGGAGGCTTCTCTCATGTCCCCACATGAGAAGCTGGAGCTGATAGATGGGAATTCACCCCACTCCCTGGATTCGAACTGCTGAACTTTCAGTCAGCAGTTCTGCCAGCGCAAGGGTTTGACCCATTGCGCCACCGGGGGCTCCAAATCAAGTGATTGTGGGTGGTAATTTTCACATCAAATTACTTAGCATTGAGAACAAGTAGCACTCCTAGGAGTAATACCAATGAGATTCCAAATTAGATCAGAAACAAATGCTGAACTGTTCATTCTTTGTTGAAAACTAGATCTAAGACAAATGTGTAGAATCAGTGGGTGACAGCTATGGAATCTGTATTTTGAGGTACTTCTGAATAAGAGCTGAGTGTAGGAAAAAGTGTAGAGAGATTGTCTTTGTGACAACAAAGGCTTTCAATAAATATCAGGTTTTTCTATCATAGCTCAATGAGAACACATATGCAGAAACCCCCAAGTGCAATGCGTACCATCTCCACCTAGAACATTTTTGTGATATATTGACCTCTAGTGGCGCAGTGGGTTAAACCACTGAGCTGCTGAACTTGCTGATCGAAAGGTTGGTGGTTTGAATCTGGAGAGCAGAATGGGCTCCCGCTGTTAGGCCCAGCATCTGTCAACCCAGCAATTTGAAAACATACAAATGTGAGTAGATCAATAAGCACCACTTCGGTGGGAAGTTAATGGCGCTCCATGCAGTCATGCTGGCCACATAACCTAGGAGGTGTCTACGGACAATGCCAGTTTTTCAGCATAGAAATGGAGATGAGCACCACCCCCCAGAGTCGGACACAACTAGATTTAATGTCAGAGGAAACCTTTACCTTTACCATTGGCATGAAGCCTACCCCAGCCTTAAGGGGATGAAATTTTGGTTATGCGTTGGGGTGGGGGTTTAATACTTCACTATAATCCAAAAATGTTTCTTCTCTGGTCACTTCAATTTCCTTATCTAATTTTTGCAGCAGGAAAGCTAGTGGCCTCTAGATGGCACTGTGAATTCACATTGGGAGGAAGAGTCAACTCCTACCTCAGTAAGTTCCCAGCTCACACCAGGACAGTGTTGTGATGCTATGAAGAGACAGTGTTTTAATTTGATCTCTTTCTTCACTTTCACTCCAAATTAATTGAGAAACAAAACCTAGAAGGACAAATCCTTATCCAATCTTAATTGGGAAGCCAAAGGCAGAAATTTGCAGGCAGCGGAACCTGCTGAAATGTTGCTGGCTGCATGAAGGACTGCTTTACAAGGAATGTTTCCCTACAGTTTTTGCACATGTCTGATTAATCTCTTTCTTGGTTATAAAGTTCTGGTTGGTAGGGAGCTTCTGATGTTTGCCTGCCAAAAACATTGGAAAGCACTATACTGTTCCAGTGATAAAACTAACCATATAGTAAATGGGTTAAGCCCTTGTGCCAGCAGGACTGAAAAACGGCAGGCCGGAGGTTCGAATCGGGAGAGTGTGGATGAGCTCCCTCTGTCAGCTCCAGCTCCCCATGCAGGGACATGAGAGAAGACTCTCATAAGGATGGTAAAACATCAAAACATCTGGGCATCCCCTGGGCAACGTCCTTGCAGATGGCCAATTCTCTCACACCAAAAACGTCTTGCAGTTTCTCAAGTTGCTCCTGACACGAAAAATATAGTAAATAGGACTTGTACAATTTAAAACTATTCTAACTTTTAAAAACACACAAGCAGCAATCATAAACCAGTGTTTCTGAACAAGATTTTCAAAAAGTGGCAGCAACCTGATATCCAGAGACTTTATCAGTGAATGGTGAGGTGATATTGGGGGCAACTGTTTTCCACTGAAAACTTTAGTTCATATAGAAATGGGTAAAAGTAAACTTTAAAATGTCAGCACTGCCCTTTTCCTTCCTCATTCAGGGGGAAAAATGAAACAATAAAGTGTTTTATACCCTGCGTCATGCTGAATGAACAGCCTTTTTAGAGCTATACAGCGAATGTTTTTGCAGCTTCATAGAGGATTGAATTCCTGGGTGTTTTTTTAAAGGCATAAATGAGGGGTGGGTGAGAGTATTCCTTCAGAAATGTTTGGCCACTCACTTTAATCGGCACAGGCAGTAATGAGAAATCTTACTTGGATTTTTTTCCAAATTAGCACAGAAGTTTAATGTAGGGGAAAAGATGTGAAGGCTGAGAATGGACCATGGGAGTGAATTTACCTCTGTTACTAATCCGCTTACACAGTTCTCACAGCAATAAGGCAGGGGGAGAGATGGGTCACATTCACACACTTTGATTTTCTTTGTTTGTGTCTTCATTATTTAACTCTTGGGAGGGCATCTTCTATTGGCCTCACTCGAGGAAGGGTGGTTTCCCAGCCAAAATACTCCATTTCACGAGCAATAGGAAACTGAACTTCTATTTAGAGACAACTTGGAATTAGTTGTTTAGTGGCCAATTCTACCTCTGGCTGTGAGGAACAGCTGACATTATCAGCAAAAGAGTAACATATTTCTTGGTTGCATCATTAACTGCCCATAAATATTATCTTATAGCTGTAACATACCTCAAAATAATGGGATTCCTAACTGCAAGTTTCTGCCTAGCTATGTATGTTGTACAATTAACTTAGCAGCTTCACAAGGCCAGCTATTTGTCTGAACTGCATGGATTGGCAATTTCTATCATATTAATACCCCTTCTCAGTTTGCATTAAACTCTTTTCAGTCATTCATTTGGACACTGGGATCAAGTAGATGAGCACATTTGTAAGTTCTGCCCCAGGAGTTCAAACACTAAGAATTAAAGCCTTTGTACCTTGAGAAGGACCCTTCTGAGACCCCTTCTGCAGAAAAATCCACATTTTTCAAGGAGAATTAAGGAGATGTTACTGGTTTCTGGACTCACTGAAGACCATCTGTGGACCCTGTAGGATTCTATGGACCACAAGTTAACAACTTCTGCTGCATCCATTAGTATTAATGCAGTCATGGCATTGTGAATCTTGGGTTGCTGTGAGTTTTTGGGGCTGTATGGGCTTGTTCCAGTGTCATTCTCTCCCAAAGTTTCACCTGCATCTGTGGCTGGATGCCCACTGTACTGTTTAAATCGGTAATCAGTTAACATCCCAATAACCTGAAAGGCCAAACTTGAGGGGCTGTTTCTTCACAGTGAGAGTGAAAATAAAGTTCGACTCAAAGAGAAGTGCATTCCACAACCAAAGAGCTACCCAGGAGGAATTCACCTGAATCTCCATTAAGTAGGACACTGCAAGTAATAGGATTCCTAAGCGGAGCTTGCCCAGAACAGCAGATTTCCCTTATACTGGTGGAGCAAAGAGCAGGGGTCACCTGAGGCAGATCCAACTACATTTAGTTTACTATTCAACTATGTCCCTTGCAAGATCTATATTCCTCTGCTATCTGGGAAGGGCATTAGGGGTTAGTATCCCATCTGCCCAATGTGGAGGACTATGAAGACAATTAATGGCCAGAGAGGTTAATCACAAAACAAGTAATCTCCTTGTGTTCCTCAAGAGGTGGGTGAAAAAAGTGAACAAGCTCAGATTTCTGCCCCAACCAGAAATCTAATTTGGGATCAAGCTGACCAATAACCAGAACCATAGAGTTGGATGAGACCTAGTGGGCAATCCAGTCCAACTCCCTGCCAAGAAGCAGGAAAATAGCATTCAAAGTACCCCTGACAGATGGCCATCCAGCCTCTGCTTCGAAGTCTCCAAAGAAGGATCCTATACCACACCCTGGGGCAGAGAGTTCCACTGCTGAACAGCTCTCACAGTCAGGAAGTTCTTCCTAATCTTCAGGTGGAATCTCATTTCCTGTAGTTTGAAGCCATTTTTCCACGTCCTAGTCTCCAGGGCAGCAAAAAACAAACTTGCTCCCTCCTCCCTATGACTTCCCCTCACATATTTATACATGGTCATCATGCCTCCTCTCAGCCTTCTTCAGGCTAAACATGTCCAGCTCTTTAAGCCACTCCTCATAGGGCTTGTTTTCCAGACGCTTGATCATTTTAGTTGCCCTCCTCTGGACACATTCCAGCTTGTCAACATCTCCCTTCAATTGCGGTGCCCAGAATCGGACACAGTATTCCAGGTGTGGTCTGACCAAGGCAGAATAGAGGGGTAGCATGACTACCCCGGATCTAGACACTAGACTCCTATTTATGCAGGCCAAAATCCCATTGGTTTTTTTGCCACCACATGACACTGTTGGCTCATGTTTAACTTGTTGTCCACGAGGACTCCAAGATATTTTTCACATGTACTGCTATCGAGCCACACGTCGCCCATTCTGTATCTTTGCAGGTTCTAATCTATTGCATGCATGATCTGCTTCTAACAATACTATGATGCCATCAATCAAATTTTCAGCAGCTCAGGCATTTCACCATGAGGTGAGAGCACTAGAAATGTTACGTGTATGTATGGAGCTCTCTCTTTATACACATGGAGTGGTAGAGTGATGTGAATGGACTGGTCTACAGGCCAAATTAGATGACAACTGGGAGGTACATCTTCTGTTGCATTATTCAGTTGCCTCT